TAATTTTAGGAGTTCCTAAAATACAGGATCTATTTCACTGAGGTTTGTCTTCAGGTTTTTTTAATGATAATCTATAGAGTTTTAAACATACCTTTTACAGTTTTTATTTCATAATGTAATCATTAACTTTCAGCATAATGCTGCTTATAAGAGAACCATGCATACTGCATTAGATTCAGATTTTATTATGGTGATAGGCCAGGATAAATCCAATTATTACAGCATTTCTTCAGTCTTAGGCTTCTTGATTTTTTTAAAAAAGCTGCTATTTATAACAATAAACATTCAGTTTGCTTGTCCAGGTATTTTCCTGAACTTCAGAATAATTTTTCTGCTGCTTATTTGATGATCAATCAACAGTGGATTATTAATAATTCTGAGTAGCCTTTAGTTCTTGGAAGAACACAGAGTTGTAACTGTCCCATCGCTGCAGATTTTTTAAAGAAAAGACTGGACAACCATTTATCTATGATGGAATAAGAATTCCTGTCTTGGGCAGGAGATTGGACTATAAGGCCCCCAAGGCCCCTTCCAGCCCTATTATTCTATTTCTATTTCTATAACCATATGATGAAGTATCATAATTTAGTAGTTCTCCAATTTCATTCTTACATGAAATTATGTTAAGACTTACAAAGATTACGTTGCCTGCCAGCTTGTACGTCTTAGTCATAGGGGGCAACCTGTCCTGATTCTCTCAGAGTAGAGAGCTAATTTCCAGGAAATGTTATTAATTATCCTGACAAGAGATTAACTGCATGGCTGTCAGTTCCAGTCACACATCAGGTATATCTGAAATTTAATTTTCTACTAGCTATGCTATTTGAATTATTCTATGGTGAAAGTAGAAGAAGGGAAGAAGAATATAAGAATATATAAAAACTAGGGTTCCTTCCTTTAAAAAGAAAAACTGGAATTTTAACTGAGTTCAGAAATAAGATGACTGCCAAGGTTGTTTAGCCCAGCAGCACAATAATATTGACCACTAATATGTTTTTATTGTGTTGCTGATAAGTTTGATTGCGCGCTGTTGGTGAGTACACAGCTGGAGGGCTTGAATGGAAACCATTCTGCACTTCACATTAACACAGAGTCAAAGAAACACTTTGTTGTTTTTAACACATTTTTATGTTGGTATCTGCCAAGATACCTACATCCTGTGATCCCATGTGAATTTCAAAGAATTCTCATTTAGAATTGAGAGTTGCTAATTTTTACATTAACATATCTGTAATCCCATCCTATAGGAGTTGCTGTCTGGGTAGAGAAAAACCTTCATCACAATCAATTGAAGCCAAACTTAAATGTTCAGTCTCCTTGAGGTCAAACATGGTGATTCTGTGGTATGGTTTGTCACTGCTTTCTTCCAAGATGATGTCTTAAACTTCTCTATATAGTCTACAAGCCAAATATTTTTGGAAGACTCCATTCAAATACTAAGCAGGCCCATCCTTGGCTTCTGAGCCATAAAAGATCAGCAAGTGTTAAAAAAACAACTTTTCCTTAATACAAAAAAATAATTAAGGTAGATATTTATTGTGCATTCTTAAGTGATCCCATTTTCATCTGAAGATATTCAGAATGGTTAAGGGAGAACGCTTAAGTACATTATATCTTCTATATATAAGAAGTGTTTATTCATCTGCAGAGTAAAGAGAATGTCAAGACAAACTTAAAATTCTATGTCTCGTACATCATCAGATGTTGAATGAACTAGAGATGGACGATCAACATTCTGATTGCTAGGATATCCAGGCTCCATCCTGAAAACATCCATTTTATAATGGGAGTTAATACTACAATATTCCTACAGCAAATTAAGATCAGTAAGAGAAAAGCAGAAAGACTGGTTGACCCATATTTCCTGATGGACATCTTTTGTTTCTGTTTAATGTGCCATTTTGAAAAGAAGAGAGAGAATAACAATTGAGGACAAACAAAATATTATTGAAAATTTGTTTGCGGCCTAGACATTTTATTTGGAATATTTTATCTTATTGTAAGTCATATTGTAGTCATATTTGTTTTTGACTGTGCTGTTACACTCCCCCCCCCCATTTTGGTGAGGAGGGGGAAATAATGACTTCATTTTCTTTCACAGCAGGAAACTTCCACATCAGCAGTTGTGTATTGCCCTGAGTTAAATTGATTGTAAAGTGTGATTGCTCAAACTTGTCATGTACACTAAGCTTTTTTCTCAGAATACATAGTTGACTGCTGTGTTACAGGTTTTGAATTGGCCATTTAGAAAATACGGTTAAGTGGATTTGTTCACTAACCGTCACTTAAGTATTACACTGTTGCGATTTATCATTTTTGTAGGCCAAGAACTTAAAACTATCACATGCATCTTGAATTTTGAAGTACCTGAACAAATTTGAAATTTGCATCTTCCTTCTTTTGTGATTGACCTTAATACTATACACTCTTAATTGCCTCTGAAATAAGGACATTGAAATTCGTTATAACATAAGGAATTGCTGTTTATATAAAAACAGTTTTTAAAAGTAGCTCAAGTGATTCTTAGACAACAATAACAATAGTTTATATTTGACTTGGGGGGGAAACTTGTTGGAAGACTTTTTCTGGTTGAAAGTGGGTATTTAATAAAAAGGAAGACAGTTTAAGAAAGGTATCAGGAATTATAGAGAATATAGATACTAATTGGGATAGGTAAACGTAATAATTCTGCCAGATTATATAATGCAGAATATTAGGTGGATGAAGTTTATTACATTAGGGTTATATCTCCTCACAGGTATCTAATGGAAGGCAATTGTGAAGTAGCTCCATGTTTGTTCTAAACTCAAAGAAGGGTCATGGATTTAACCTGTCTAGATCCAGAGAGTTCTAGGAATACCAAGCAAAATATTACTTCTCCACAAGGTGGAGATTCAGTATACCTCTTGTCTAATTGATTGTCACTATTATGAACAACTTTGCATGCTGTCAGAAATTAAATTACATAAGCTGCAGATTTGGGTCATCTAGAAGAACAAGTAATTGCCGCAGTATTTAAATGATTAAAATATTCTTGAGGAAGTCCACAAAAGTAATGGATTGACTTAATTGGAGGTTGACCCTGAATTTTAGACATTTCTCTACTACCCTAGGAAGGTCAGTATAATGGAATATAGAAAGGAGATGAATTTCCAGGAGGGAGGGGTGTATTCCAGAGGAGTAAGAAGCAGCTCAGTCTGTATGTTACCAATGAGAGGAAGGGTGACAGCCCCTCCCTAATAGTTTAGAGCAGTGGTGAAATCCAAATTTTTTTACTACCAGTTCTGTGGGAATGGCTTCGTGGGTGTGGTGTGGCTTGTGGGCGTGGCTTGGTGGGCATGGCAGTGGAAGGATACTGCAAAATCTCCATTGCCATCCCACTCCAGGGGAAGGATACTGCAAAATCCCCATTCCCACCCCACTCTGGAGCCAGACAGAGGTGGTATTTGCCAGTTCTCCGAACTACTCAAAGTTTCCGCTACCTGTTCTCCAAACTGCTCAAAGTTTCTACTACCGGTTCTCCAGAACCTGTCAGAACCTGCTGGATTTCACCCCTGGTTTAGAGTATATGCAGATAGTGGAGTAGAGTCCTTAGTCTGACAAAAGGTATGAAATCAATAGAGAAGCTGATCCTGGAAAAATTGCATGTTATTCTTGGTTTTGGACCTAACAGTTAGAAAAATAAAACTTACCTGTTTTAATTGTCTTCTTCTCAGTGAATGTAAAATAACTTTTTGCATTTTAAAACTACTTATTGGATAAGAGGCAAAAATACTTTTATTCCTAGATAAATAAATCATGGCTTGACTGCCGCAATACACTGTATAGGGACTGCCCTGGAAGACCACTCTGGTACAGAATGCAGCAGGGCAGGCAGTGATGAGCATGCCTCATAACCATGTAAGACTCCTGCCTATGAGTTGCCAGTTTGCTTCTGAGTGTGATTCAGGATGGTGATTACCCCCATCATATCTGCCCAGCTGATTCAATCAGGCATGGGTTTGACCCACACTAGATGCCCTCGCTTAAACAACACCATTTGTTGGGGCCCTGGAAGCACTCCTTGTCTGTCATAATGCCAGCCTTCTCTCATAAGGTTTTTCATAAGATCCCAATGGTCCACATCCTGCTGGTTTTTCAAAGAGCGTTGAAGAACTAGTTCTTGCTTGGACCTTTGGTGAGGATAACTTTAAGTTGTGTGGGTTTTTGCGCCTCTCTGGTTTATCATCTTGTATTCTTGTTTATTCTTGTATGGTTTATTCCTTTTAATGTTGTTTATCCCTGAACCACCCTGAGTCATTTGTAGTTGGGTGGAATAAGGAGGAGGTGGAATGAGGAGGAGGAGGAGGAGGAGGAGGAGGAGGAGGAGGAGGAGGCAATATGATGCTAATGTACCTCTGCTGGGATGTTTTAAACATTGGAGATCAGTTTTACCTGGAAAGTGCCCTGGTTTGTTGTTACTATAGTTATAATGGTCTGGAGGAGCCTTGTTTTTCTTGATTTCAGTTAAGCTTTACTCAACAAGACAGCAAATGAATCTGGCCATTCCACCTTGTCTGTGATTCCGAGAACAGCCAGCACTACTGTAGCTGAATCATGGGTGATGAGCAAGAGATGACCAAGTTATCGGAACATGTTTGAGCTTAGCAGTTGAGGCTTTGACTGGAAATAACCCATTTATAATCCTTGTTCTGTAATTCAAAAATACTTTCTTAGTGTATATTTAATATGGGAAAAGAGAAGGAAGTTCACTAGAAAGTCTTAAGAATGACACAGGAAGAATGTTTAAATGTAATGCCAAACTGCAGAACACTAAATGAGATAATTTGTATAGAAGGGAATATTCCCAGTGTCTTAATCAGTTTATATATCGATGAAAGACTTCCAAAATACTTGCTAGTATTTATCAACATGTATATTATGTAGTCTACCCTTTTTATAATGCATTTCCTTAAACCAATGGATTACAATAAATTAACATTCTGAATTTAAATTTGCAGGTTTCATTTTCTTCTTAGATCTCCAGGAGAAATTGGAGAATTTTTAAACAGGTGAGTTTACAAAGTTGAATATATTCTTTGGGAGGGAGGGACTTTTTTTTATTAAACTATTTTTCCTGAAAAAAATACTAGTGGTGTAGTTACAACTCTTTTGATTTAAATAGAAGCTATTAAGAGTAATATGAGCACTCTCACAAGTAGCTGCTTTGGTAAATTTATCCAAACATTAAATTTATTTATTTATTTATTTATTAAATTTATATGCCACCCCTCTCTGGAGACTCAGGGCGGCTCACAATACATTTTTTTTTTAAAAAAAAACCATTCTAAAAACATTTAAAAGATTAAAAAACATTAAAAACCTTAGAACTCATCGTTCTAAATACTCCTTTATCAAAAGGCAAATTGGTAAAAATACTTCTCAGATTTACCCACTTCAAGTATTCATTTTACCTTTTTAAAATTTTTGAGGCATGTGTTCTTTTAAGTATTTCCACACAAAGTTCTGGGTTGTTTCCACCCACATAGGAGACAATGTTGTAGTTTTCTTTTTTTCTTTTTCTTTTTCTTTTTTGATAAAAGATAGATAGATAGATAGATAGATAGATAGATAGATAGATAGATAGATAGATAGATAAACTATTTTTCCTGAAAAAAATACTAGTGGTGTAGTTACAACTCTTTTGATTTAAATAGAAGCTATTAAGAGTAATATGAGCACTCTCACAAGTAGCTGCTTTGGTAAATTTATCCAAACATTAAATTTATTTATTTATTTATTTATTAAATTTATATGCCACCCCTCTCTGGAGACTCAGGGCGGCTCACAATACATTTTTTTTTTTAAAAAAAACCATTCTAAAAACATTTAAAAGATTAAAAAACATTAAAAACCTTAGAACTCATCGTTCTAAATACTCCTTTATCAAAAGGCAAATTGGTAAAAATACTTCTCAGATTTACCCACTTCAAGTATTCATTTTACCTTTTTAAAATTTTTGAGGCATGTGTTCTTTTAAGTATTTCCACACAAAGTTCTGGGTTGTTTCCACCCACATAGGAGACAATGTTGTAGTTTTCTTTTTTTCTTTTTCTTTTTTTTTTTGATAAAAGATAGATAGATAGATAGATAGATAGATAGATAGATAGATAGATAGATAGATAGATAGATAGATCAATAGAGGTTTTTTTTTCTTCCCTTTAATCATGTCCCATTCTCAGAAATCGCCTGGACAAGTTCCTGCTAGATAGCTATCAAGTGCAAGAAATCTAGTAGGTACTAACATACCAGTGAACAGATCTCCACTGGTAGCAAAGGTAAGTGGAACTCACTACTGGGTCCAGATAAAATACCTGAGGTAGTGAGACTTCGGTATCTGGAGATATAGAAGTCTAAAAATCTGGAGGCCATAGGCTCCCTGCCCCAGCTTAACTAATGTATTATTAAACCTTCCTAATTTTATCATCATTTGAATCATTAAGGAAGGTTATTAAGGTAACTGATCTTTAAATTCCTTTTTGATTCGACCATTCATATAATCCTAAATAATTGCTGAAACCTGATCATTCATTCAGTTATTCATTCTGCAGTCAGGCCTATTAGACATACTGCAGACACTTTTTTTGCATTCCTTTTTTATTGTTAAAAGAGCATGTTATAAATGTTTATGACAGATGGTCTTTTAAAAAATGGATGTAGAAATACAACTACAAAAACATAACACTACCCAGCATTAACAATCTGGATGCATTATAAAGTTTATTTTTAATTCATTTGTTTGATTTACACCACATCTTTAGTAAGTAAAAGTGTGACATACTTTATTTAATATAATGTATCTGTAGAAACTTTAATTCAGAATCAACAGATTTATGTGATGCTAAGATATTGCTGGTTCTTCATATTTAAATTTAAATGTTAGTAGTGAAATGATTTTCAAAGTGCATATAATGATTTGAAAACATGGAGTTTTTAATCCTACATCAATTTCCTCATTGATGTACTTCTAGAGTTCCCCTATTTTCTAACTAGTCTTACTGAATGTGTATACTTCCTCTGTAGTAAATGCTGACCTAGAGGATATAATTAGGGTAGTATCAAAACAGAAATTTGCCCTTCCTCTTTTGGAACTATTTATATTCAGTGAAGTGATAGTGATGCTGGTATAAAAACATCAAGACACTTATTGATATAAAATGAAGAACTCTGAGATTGCAGAAGGATCCATTACAAATTTTGTTGCTTTAATATCGGAATATCCTGCAAAAGGTTTGGATTGCATCTTATTAAGATTGAAACAAAGTATGAAACTTTAATTTTATGGCTTTTAATTAAATGTTATATGTATTAGGAATAAATGGGAAAAAGTGTCACAACTAGATGTTTTTATAATATCTCTACTGTTCTAGTAGTCTATTTTGTGCTGAGAATAAAGTTGTAAAATAAAAGTGGGAAGAAATAGGTCATAATCTCAAGCTTGATTTTCATACACACACACACACACACACACACACACACACACACACACACACACACCTTACAGCCTTCAACTGTAAAATCACAAATGAAATAACATTAGCATTTCAAACATTTAAATATTATTAAAAATAAAAAATTAAAATCATTTGTAAGTCAGATTTCGGGAGTGCCAGGGCTTTTATTTCGTTAATTTTACAACCCATCGTATTAAATTCAAGCTTATTTCTTAAGAGTAATGTGCAGTTCTGTCTTGATTATTTCTTTTAATTTTTGTTGTGGCAATGGATTTTTAAAGTGACATATGCATGGCTCATGCCTTGCACTAATTGGTTTGGTTGACTTGGGCTTTAGTGCACCGGGTGAATTCTAGTGACTGTGGGTTATAAGGAAGCTGTCTGATTTACTGTGGTTTTTGTATTCAACCAGTTGTGAGTTATTCAATAGCTCAGTTTTAAAGGTATAACTAGTGCTTGTAACCTTTAACTGGGTGAAACAGTGACCAAGGTACCTCAAATGGTCCAAAATCCAGGACACATGACTCCTGTGGATTGAAATCTGGCAAATTTGTGGTCACTTCAGTGCTGCTGTTCTGTCACCTAGAGAACCAGTAGACCAGTCCTGCTCTGGCCTTCTAGAAGCTAGGTAGACCAGTCCTATCACTGGCTGCTGCAGGATGATTGATCAGCCATGGTCAAGCCCGCAAGAAAGCTGATCCCACTCTCACTGCTTTTTTGTTCTTGGTCATTCTATTTCTCTGTTTAAGTAAAGAAATATCTCTGAAATGATGACCCTTTATTGTCTTAGTTAGTTTTAAAATGCTTCTTTCTCTATTATGCATATCTTCATGCAATGTAAAAAAAGATTATGAATGTTGAATTATATTGATAGCCCAATAAAAACCCATCCAAAATGTGAAGGCAAAGAAAATGTTTGAACAGGGTTTGTCTATGTCTGTGCGCATATTACCATTTCTTATGAGGTGTAATTGATTATACAATTCTGATTTTACAGATTGGAAACTTGATTCAAAAGAAATATATTATCAGGTAAGAAAATAGTCATTGTATCAAGTGTATCAGTGTAAACTGCATATTGTTTTTATATACTTTTTGAATCTAGTCTATTTATGTACACCCCAATTCAAAAAGTTTAAGTCCTGTCCCTATGTGGTTCTCTCTGAAATTAATGGTATCTTCATATATACATATTAGTGACTATGTCTTTAGCTGTGATTGAATTAAGAAATCCCTGATTTCTTCAAATTTCCTTAATTTATTAGCACTTTAGTTATACACCTGCTAAAACATATGCCAAAACTGCTTATTTTGGATCATTAGCTAATTAAATAATGGAAAGAGTATATTTTAACAAAATATGTAACTTCAGTGTTCTTAAATTAGTAAAGTGTTTATGTTATTAATACTGCTGACACAGTCAAAACCTCCATAACTAATGTGAAACATGTTGGTTTCTAGTATTAGTTGTTTATACCTGATATTTTTGTACAAGATACATTTTCAAAATAAATTCCTGAATTGTGCTATCTGAAATGTATACATTTCTTGGATTATAGGTAGTCCTCAGCTAGTGACTGCCTCATTTAGCAATCATTTGCAGTTACTACAGTGATGAAAAAATAATCTTAGATCAATCCCCACACTTACTGTACAACCTTCATGGGTCTATAAAGCAAAGCAAAGATGGATGTAAAGATCATAAGCATAGTTGTGATTTCAGTTAGTGACTGCTTCACTTAATAACTGAGTTGCTGGTCCCAATTGTGGTTGCTAAACAAGGATTATCTGCATTGATTTCTCCAAAAGAGGCTAAATGTATCAAAATAATAGTTTAACATAGTACAACCTCCACACAATGAAGCATTTCTAAATCAAGATTTCTAAAGTAAATTGTTAACATATCCATGTAAACCAGATGCCTAAAAAGGAACTGACTGAATTATCCATTTCAGATAATTGAACTACTTCAGCATGACTTTATATTTTATACTTATCTTAATCCAATATTTACTTAATAATTTATATCTTGTGTTTGATAGGTTTTGCCTCAAATTATTTGCTCATATATATTTTATTGAAAAGCTAGATTGTGTTATTAACAAAAGTACCTGAAATTATTGAAGTCCTGTATAGTTAGCATACTATGAAATAAATAAACCTATTGATAAAAGTAATAAAATTGTGCAGTTTCCAAGACAGAAAAAATAAATAAATCACATGAACATAAAAGAAGCAGAAAAATAGGTAGCATTAGTACTTTCCCAATCCTGTATTATTCTTTCTTGTGTCAATATCCTGTTTTCTCTTCCTAACCAATGCAGACATAAGGTTTCAGAGTTCATTTACATAAATTATACTTACACCGGTTTGATAGGAAACAGGCACTAAAATGCAGATCGGTATACACATTAAAACATGAATATTGAAGCAAGGCATCTTAGACGCTCTGTTATTATCAATCAAGAAAATCATTTTAAGATTGTAATGCTCATCCCCCAATAATGTCTATTTATGTCAAGGGGAAAAAAAGCAACTTACACATTCATATTGAAGATTAGGGAAGAAATATAGAAATTAACAGTATCCTCATTCTTCTACATAAATCAGTGATGTGGCTAGATTTGAACTATTACAGAGTATTACAAGGATTTTGTAAATACGTGCAAAGCAAATGACCCAGGGATTAAATTACTTTCCCTTTAAAGAAACATGGTAACTTTTTTGCTTGGTCAAGAATCAAGTCAGTTGGGGGTAGAGAGTGATTTGGATAATTTAAATTTGATTGCTTAATAGTTCTTAATTATAGGAAAGTTTTTAATCTGGCTCAGTACAACATATTCCTTTTGGAAGTACAATACAAAATGAAAAGCAAAAATGTGTGTCCCTGTCCATTTTGGTTAGAAAGAAAAGTGGAAACAATAATTATCTGCTATTCTATGAATTTAAGGAAGTGGTTATCCTGCCATTATTATTGAAGTATCTGATAGAGGTTCTAAATTCTACAAAGTGCACTTATTAAAGGATTATATTATTGTTATGATATTGCAGGCTAGGAAAAGAGAATTCAGAACTTGAGATTTTAGGGAGGACTGATACATTTTTGGAGTCATTGGATTATATATTTTATTTATTTATTTCCAGTGTTTTATACCACCCACTTGCAAAATTGGCAGGACACAGTAAAGCACAGTAAAATACTAAAGCAAACGTGTTGCTAAAATAAGGATCAGTATATATGAAACAATCATTAAAACATAAAATCATATGACATGTATATGTTTTGATGTACTCTTTTTTTCCTTAATCGTAGAATAATAGTACCCTTAATCGTAGAAAGATATATTTATGCATGCTCTCTTGTTTTTATAATAGTCTGCACTGCAATAAATACATTTTTATAGAATATTTAAATTCATGCATGGTGCAGAAAATGTGGAGAAAGGGAATCTCTCTTACATAATAACTAGAGTCTGAGAAACTGATTAAAGATGAACGGTGGAAGTTCCATAACAAATAAAAGAAGATGGGTCTTTATAACTTACTCTAAAGTATAATAGCTATCAAGTTGGGTGGCTTTAAATAAGGGTTGACTTTCATGAATTAATTGTGGCTACTACAAATGATACTGTGCATTTTCTCCAGTATCAGAAGAAATATTTTTATTATTTTTATTATTATTTACATCCCATGTTTTGCCCATGAGGCACAGTTAATACGTTATTAGGGAAATCAGGCAAAAGGGCACTATTATATTCATGTCTTCTTTGTGCGAATTTACCGGATTCATCTGAATCTTGACAATTTCTGGAACAACATGCTGGAATAAATATGCATTTGGCTGAACCAACATGGTTCTTCTAAGATGTTTATTAAAAAAATTACTGATTATGAGTTAGCGCAGGATAGGTTTTGGAAAGAATAAGAACCACATTCCCAAATAGCTGATCCTGTGCGTTAAGGGCATATATTGACAAAGACAACACAAAATTTGGGGGGGGCAGCAAATACAAAAACACAACATCCCCACATGCACACAAACCAGAAAGGATTATACTGTTCCAGACAAACATATACAACAGTATATACAGACACCGATTAGTCTCTAGGAGAAGATGTGAATGCACACATGCATACCTCCCCACACCCCATATTATGTTGTGACACAAAAGAAAATACAGGCATCTCCTATTGCCACTGCTGGTAAAAGGGTTGGGAAGCATTCCTGAAAGCCAGTCTCACCAGAATTTCTTTGTCTTGTTTTTTCATCCCTTGACAAGATTTAAAAAATCTGTTCCTGCTGATCTTTCATTTTAATTATAGCATATCATAAATTCCAGCCTTTATTACTGTCTATTTTATTGGCGGTCTGAGTTGCCACCTACATTTTTGTTCTAAGATCAGGTATCTGCAATGCGCTGGAGTGGGTGGAGAAGATTTGTGTTTTTGTTTTTACTTTGGCAAGCTAAGATTGCCACTTAGTGGTCAAATCTTCTAATGACAAGCTTTTCCCAGCAATAATAAGGCTTTGAAATTGATTTGGGATTTACTTTTATGTCAAGGGAATTAGCCTTGGTTGTCTAATTTCTTAAATAACTTCCACTTTGTGTCCATTTTGAATGACAGAGGATTTTATCCCAGTGCCTATACGCGGAATGTTAAATGACACCAAACTCCACAAATACGATAAAGACACCAAGGACAATGATCTTCACAGCTACAGATTACGTGTCTACCATCATTTTTATCTAGTTAATATAACTGAATAAAAAATAAATTACAGTAACAATAATATATTTTAAATTTTAATAAATCATTGATCATCATTAGGAAATTTTAATTTAAACACAGATGTTAATTAGATTTTTGTTGTGAGCTGAACAGATTCAGTAATGAATGAATAATTCTTACGTTTGCGTTGTTTCTTAATTACCACATTTGTATCATCCCTTTCTTTCCAAGTTGAGTGTAGCACATTTGAGGGCGTTTTCTTATTTTATTCTCACCAAACCAATCTTTGAGAATTGTTACACAGAAAGATGCTAACTAGCCCAAAATCAACTATATAGCCAAATGGGTTCCTGAACTCTTTGTCACCTTGATCCCTCCTATGGTAAGTCCAAAATCTAGAATATTCTCTTAAAACAAAAGTACATGTGGAGATTTCTTGATCAGTCTTTTACCTTTTTCTCTTCCTAACTATGAAAAAATTGGTTGGGATTAAGGAGAATTTGAAGAATTAATTATTTATTTTTACAAGTTTACTAAGAAACACAAATGATAATAATATATATAACCCCTCACTCAGCTTTCCATCTTAAATTATACAAATTTACAAGGACATTATATCATTGTGCCATAGTTGTAAACCACAACTATGGTTTCACATGTGGCACTTAACAAAAATGCATTCATCTTTAACTAGTTAGCTCCATTTGTGGACTTGGAGTAAGATGTGGACATGCCTTATGTCATTTAAATCTATTCCAGTCCTACATTGAAAATGGGAAGATAATAATATTTAACAATGTCCCTCCAAATTCCTTCACTATGTATAGAGCTTAATTTTCATTATTTTGATGATCTGTCTTGCCATTTTTAATCTCATCCAGTTTGTTGGAAGATTTTGTCATATAGAAACCCTGTTTGAAACTTACAGAAAGTCAGGGCAGAGGAAACAAAGTAAGTGATTAAGCTACCTGATTTTGGTTTAGTCTGTTTCAGGGGTGTCAAACCCACGTTGTCATGGTGGCGTCATGTGACGTATCGGGACTTTCCCCCCCCCTTCGCTAAACTGGGCAACCGCGTGGCCAACACATGACACATCTGGCCTGTCGGCCAGGAGTTTGACAGGCCTGGTCTGTTGGGTGAACTTTGGCTAACAGGTGCTTTTCATAAGATGCAGTTAAAAATTCATAACTTAGTATGATGTGTGAGTGAGAAATACACAAGGACCAAAGGAATTGTTTAGGAAGCCATGGTTCCAACGAATAATTAATAATAAATCCTGGGATTTACTTTAGAGTAAAATT